AGCACGAACTCGAAGAAGAATACTAATACCGGGACCTAGGCTAATATAAAAAGTAATACAAATTTCTGCAGTATGAAAGGAAATAAAAATGAATCGAAATAATGATACACGTCATGGCATATATCTATTTATAAGCTGATAGTACATATGATTGAAGTTCATGTGGACCTGCTTCTCTATTGCTAAGTATTAATATTTTGCAATTCATATTGATTTAATAAATTCAATTCAATATAATCAAAACGAATATTTCATGTACCGTTTTAACTTGAGTGTGATCCTAATAACATCACGTGTTCTACGTTTAAGTTTAGCGGCTGTGACTCCGACACAGCATGCAGGTCAAGACGAAGGCGCTGGATTGATCCTCTTTTTTTGTTGTTTATTAACCACTAATAAAAGCTTGTCTTAAAAAAAAATTTTAATTACTTTTTATGCTTCTTCTATAACATTTTTAATTCTTACCTAACCTGAAATTATTTTCTGTGGTGTAATGATGTAAAAATAGATACCCTGCAAACCATTTTTTCAGAGTATTCTAAATTGTAGAGAAATTTTAAGGTAAAGATCTTATCCAATTTTTTGCCGAATTTTCTAAAATGAAATAAACTGTGCACACTTTGATTCTTTTACGAAATTTCGGAAGAAAAACGGTAAAGAAATGAATATAATGCTGCTATCTGAAGAATTTCTTGCAGTAGTTTCAGCATTTTCTTTATTTTTCGTAGAGAAATTTCTTTACGATTCGTGTCAACCACTTCATATAATTTTCTTTGAAGATTCGTAAAAAAATCGTTACAGAGATGAGATACTCCTAAAGATTTCGTTAAGATTTCGGGAACTTTGGTTTGCAGGGTATACAGTTGAAATTTTTAAGTTTCGTAATGTAAGTATTTATGTATGTACTTATAAATTTTTAGCTATCAAAATAAAACTACGAATTAGGTATAATTTCTGAAGTATAAATGAATTTTGCGTCAAAATTCATTCTGGCCGTAATCAAAAGCATGCGAAATTAAAAACATACGTTTTGCCGGGGTCTCGTTTTCTGCGCTTTGGACCATATGTATATACTTACATATGTACTTATGTATGTACATATTTACACATGTACATATACAATGTACATACATACATACACGTGTATGTAGATCTAAAATGTTAATTTCCTAAATTAGCTTAAGAAAGATGCAATCAATCAAGTTTAAAACCAGTTCCAAGCCATATATGCACATAGTATATGTATATCTGTAAGTAATCCACATACACTTGTTACTCCATTCGCATGCTATGGTCTTAAGACTTCATATACGTATGTGTATACGTATGTAGATATTCATATGCATTTGTGTGACGGCTCATACATACCCTGCAGTAAAATTTAGAGACAGTCTGACAAAGCGCTAGTTCCGAACTATCTCTGAACTAGTGCAAAACGGATGCAGAGCGGGATAGTTGAAACTTGCGGAGTAAATGTGCAAATGCTCACTACTCATACAATACGAAGGTGGCTCAGAGAGAAGACGTCTGACTCAAGCATCGTTGGTCGCAGGTATAAATCGCGGTGGAGGCTGCTGTGAGTTTTCAAATTTAATGAATTTAAATTGTTGCATGCAAGCAATATTGTGTTTTTTTTTTAATAAAATATGTACAAAAATTGAATCTCTAACAGAAAATAACAAACGAAAAAACATCCAAAAATCTAATCTTAAAAATGTTTTCCTTAAACATATTTTCCAAACGGGAACCGGTTAAAAACTAGTTGCAAAGTAATGCACTGGGCGACAATTGTCACCGCCAATGACATCGCCGCGAAAAACTGGACAGTTGAAAGCATTTCAGCATTGCTAGCATTTAGCTAGAACTAGTACTGTCGGCAAAAGGTCTAGTTCTACGCTAGTTCTGAGCTAGTTAGATTTTCTGCCGGGTAAATGTCTATCTGTGCAGGTATGTGCATACCCAGCAAAAAATCGGCAAAGGCGGGTTCACCGTTCGTGTCCGGACAACTTTTTATTTGCTTGTCGGAGAGGGTGCTGAAGTAACGTTCACCATTCATTTCAGCACATTTTACTTTGTTCTGAAGCAAACAGCTGATGATATTGTTACCTACATACGATTTGAAGGCAAATAAGACATGCAATTCGCAGCAAACCCATATAAAGGAGAACGCGGCAACTCGAATCATCAATTCGTTCGGACAGAAAACCAAAATCAGTTTGATTCGAAAAAAGAGTGTTCAGCACATTTTTGTCCCGCTTTCAGTGAGACAAAGTAGGAAGGGAACGCGTAAAATTACTAACAAAAAGTGTCCGGACACGAACGGTGAATCCACCTTTATCACCTTTAGTGGTAACGTGTTTCAGAACGCATTGGCGTATAATGTCTTAAAATTTTTTCGCATATTTTAGGCATTGCCTGTAATGCAAAGTAGAATGTTCTTTAATTCTTTTCTACCGTTACTTTCTGTGGAAAATTCCAACGCATATAAATCATGTTTGGTCAATAAAGTAAAGTACATAAGTGAGGAAGTAAAATTTTAAGTTTATTTAAATATGTATGTATGTACATACCGCCTTATAGGTAAGATCAAAATACAAACATATGTATGTATAAAAACTGATTTATAAAAATTTTAATTAATTTTAATCTTTTAAGACAATCCGTGCTGTCTGTTTTCTATTTAATATACATAAGTAGGGTTCGGAATCTCTTGTTTTTATTGGGCATGTTATGTTATGTTATCTTTACGAGTCTTGAAATTTCATTTAAAATGGCATTCAATCGTTGCTGCATATTTTTGCATATTTCGCAGTAAATGCATGATTTTGCATATTTTGCAAAAAAAAGTACCTGTTATTGCATATTTAAGTATTGAGCATATTTTGGTATATTTTACAATAAGTGCATGTGGTTTTTGCATATATTTGCTTTTTATGATTTACAATCATTTAAATTTAGTGCGAAATCTCTTGCCAAAAAAATCCATATAATTTTTTCTTAAATATTCATCTGAATATCTTCTTGGTTAGCCAAGCGGCCATTGATCTTCTCTCTTCTACCTCTGTTAGATCTCAACTAGTGGACGACTGTAGGAGAGAGCTGGCCTATATCACTGATCAATACGAAATTACCCTAATATGGTTCCTGGCACATAGGGACATTTACGGAAACGTGGCAGCGAACGAACTTGCAAGGTGCGGCTCGGCACTGAAGGTGTCCCACGCGGTGGACATAGGCGCTTGGCTCAGGGAGATAAAAGCAACAACTACCGAAATTTATCACTCGAAGGCTAACAGGCTAACCTAATATTCACGCACGCCGCCAATTTGCTGTCATGGGACCAACCGAAATTGAACGGCGTGCGTATGAAGCTAACTCAATTTCCAATTTTTGTTCTGCGTGACATTTTGATTTGACGTTTCGCTCAATGAAATCAAATGCAAACGCACGCAAGCCATTTTCGGTTGACGCAAAAAAAAACAAATTCGACTGCGTGCGTACTAAAACGCAAGCCGCGAATATTAGGTCAGCCTGTAAGCATAGGTGGAACCGTACAGGATTACCCGGCAATTATGGGTGTCCTACGACCCACTTAGACCAAAGCTCCCTTAGGAATGAGCAAATAAGATACCTACTAACTTACTGCAGTGTGCACAGGGCACTGGTTCGTTGGTGTAGTAGGTACGTTGACTCTGGCTCAAAAGAGACAGTCGAACACATCCTGTGCGAGTGTCCAGCCTTTGCAAGTATGAGGCAGCCATTCCTACAGAATGGTTTAGAGTGAATCTGGCTCTCTCTGTATGACGTACCGAAATTCATTAAAGCCGCGAAATGGGTGTAGGTTGCACGAGTTGTGGAATCAAAATTGCAAACTTTCTCAACTGTCTATTTACACAAGATTGTATCTGGCTGTTTGATTATACACTAATTTTATCCATAAATATGTATTGTATTTTGAGGTGAATTCCCAGCCAGCAGAGAAACGTACTTTTTGCCGAAAGTGCAGTTTTCGTACATTTTTCGTTTCCGGAAATGTTCAGAAAACGATTTTCATATTTGTTCATTTTTCGTATCCGAAAAATGTCATCATCCTATTTCAAAACAATAATTTTAAAATATTTGTTTAAACTGAATCTTAAATTTGTTTTTTGTTTGGTTTCCTGTAACTATGAAGAAGTTTCTGTGAAGTTCATAATGAAATCGTTTTCAACGAACACTTTAGTGGGAGAACTGATCTGAAAAAAGTCCGAAAACGGAATCGGAAAACGGATGAAACATCAGGTTTTTATACGAAATTGTTTCCATTTTCGGATACGTTTTCGGATATTTTACTGGCTGGGTTGTTTTCGTTATTTTCTTCTTAAAATATTTACATGTGTTATTTATTTTTGTGTCAGCAATAAAATATTAGGAAAATGTTTTTAATTGCATACTTTACTTCTTTGTGGCGCATCTTTCTGACTTTTGAGTGCATATTATATGCGCAATGACATGCCATGCCTTCTTGAAGCGAAAGGGTAAGCGATTACCATCGCCTAATTCGATTGCATTTTAATTTCTGTGGTAATCGTACTTTTTTGCTGGGTAAATATATACATATGTATGTACGTACGTATGTATATATAAACATACGCTTGAGTACGTGTATACCCAGTAGCAGCTGGTTGTGCATGGATAACAAATAAAAAGAACCTGCACGCCATTTTTGTCAAAGCACAGGTGCATCAGAAAATTTTCTTCGCCGGATATACATCTATGTATTTATGTGTGTGTATGTATATGTCTACACATACATACGTATATGCAAACGTATGTATGGATGATTATATGAATGTATAAACATATACACATATCTACATACGCACTATGTACATATGTAGAACAAATGAAGAAATTGTAAGAAGCGCAGAACGAGATGCACAGCGAAATGAATGAAACTTTTTATCTTTCTGCAATTATAAAATATACATATGTAGATATGTATGTGCGAAAAAACTCACCATTAGCCACAACACGACAATTCGTAAGACAAGTTCTTCGATATTGTTGCCAACTAAACGCACGGAGCGGGCTCCAAAGTCGCCATTTGCTGTTGGCGTCTTCTCCGCATCCTCTCGTGAATGAATTTTCAGTCTTGCTGTCTCTCCGTTTTGCGGGTAGTAATCGGAATAACATTGTGTATTTTTTATAATTTGATTACTATATTGTATTCAATTTGTAATTGGTATCACCATTGACGCACTGTGTTAACTTAAAATTTTCACTTCCGTTGCGTATATTCATTCAGTAATTTTTCTATTGCTAATTTTTTTTTCTTTACATTATGTGCTAACAAATTTATCCAGTGGTGCGCTTTTCTTTTGGGATACTGCTTTTACGCAACAAATTTTGTGCACACATTGAAACAAGGAATTCAGAGACAAACATTTCATACACATAATTAGCATTCGAATACCGAGAGGCTATTAGGTGATCAGTTTAAGTTATTTCCACGTTAAATAACACTGTTTAACTTAATAATTGTGTTTGCGTAATTAAATTAATGAAAGGGACTAATTTTTATGTTGGCATGCTATGTATATATATTTAAAGATAATTTTTTTTTTTTCAGTTTATTGGAATGAGTTAATTTCTCATTGTAGGTAGACAGTTAGCTTTAGTGTACATATTTTAAGATATGAACGAAAATACATTCATATGTATCTATGTACATAATACATAAGTAATTATGTATTCCAGTACTCGAAATTCCATAACATATCTATGGAACTGGATTTTTATCGACGCTTATCCATCTGTAATTATGAATACATACGACAATCATCCTTGATTTTCTTTGCAACTAGTGTCGCAGGATTGCCACTCTTTCTATACGCCACCTTTGAAACTGTAAATTTTATGTTGGCGTTGCCCGTTGAATGATGTACATACATACATACATGTTAATGCACACGTACCCATACATTCATTCATATGTACTTATAGTATATGCACACATACATAGATATGTATAACTATTTATGGATGTAACAAATAGTTTGTCCAAACGCTGAGATGGCGTGCAAACTGCAATTAAAATGCCCACACACATCCGCTTTATCCAAAAGAGAAGTATGTGTATGTATTTTTATGTATATCCACATACATTTTTTATTATGTATTTTTATTCACACAATCCGCACACACGAAACAAGTCAAAACGTCGACACCGAATAAGGGCTAAACACGAACTAACCACAAATTTTGCATAATACAACGTTGATATCTGGTGCATGGTGGAAAACAATTCATGAATAGAGAAATGTGGTAAACAAAGCTGCTGCAACCAACGCACTTTCATCTCTACACAGAAGAAGTTGTATACCAACGCATAGATACATAACACACATAAACGATTTGGTTCAAGCTAACAAATATACATACATGTTCATACATACATACGTATGTAGAAGATTAGTTAGTATGGGGAAATTCTCTTATGTATTAAGAGAAGTTTTTACTGCTCTTCAAACATTTAAGAGTTGCTTAAAATGAAGTCTACAAAATTGTCTATGCTTGCCATCATGGTTGCCACAATTGGTAACTTTCTACCAAAATTGGTAACTTTTAAACGGTTTGGTAACTTGGTAACTTTTATTTCATTTTGGTAACTTTTGCAACTAAACATCTATTTGCATTACTAGAAAGAAATGATTTATGTTTTGAATGTGCGTAATTATAAAATCCCTTCGAGTTTCAGTGGCAGCACTACTGACACTTTTACAAAATTACTTCGATTAAATTAGTCATCTCATATTCGAATACTGGAAATATTTACAATGGCAGCACCATGGGCTGCGATAAATATTAAATTCTACCGTCTCACATATTAATACTGGCCATCTGGCAATTTTTGGTAAGGTCCATAAATTGTTTTGATTATTCCGGCAAAAAAAATGTTGCGTGCTTTTTACCAGACCCATCTACCGACATGTATTTCGACACCTACCGACATATATTTCGACGTATAGTAGAGTATGAAAAACCGAAAAAATAGCAAAAAAATGAGCAATTTTCGCAATTTACTCGAAATTACACTGAAAATGGCACAACGCCGAAACCGGTTTGTCTCCAAACCAAATTTGACAAGGGATGATGGATTACATCATACTCCTACCTGTCGGAAACACCAACAACGAAAATGAGCATAAAGGCACATGCAGTAATTAATTGATAGAAAAATATTTTCTAATAAAAAAAAATATTATAATTGTCAATAGCATTTTCAATCTTGATAATTTATCAAGAAAATAGATTTAAACTTCTGTGCTAGAACTGGGAGCTTTTGATAAATAATCAAAAATTGACAAATTATAAAAATATTGAATTTATTAAGTGCACAGAACCGGGCTGTAAGTATATGGGCAAATCTAAAAAATAGGTACACTCTCCAAACAAAAAAATTTAATTTTTAAATTTGTGAGCACGCCTATGTTTTATATATCATTTTATTCGTATTCTCTTAATAAATCGATTAACAAAAAAGTAATTCATTTTTATCAAGTGCTTCAAAAATTAGACGAGGAATAAACATGAAATAGAAAACAAAAGAATAAGCTGGGTTCAAATTACGTCGTTCGAGTTGTAAAATTTGAGCAAAGATTTTGAAAGTTGAACTCACTTAATTGGGACGTTCTAAATTGAATGGCATCCCCCGTTTTACCAGATTGGCTCCGGTTTTCGAGATAACTGTATTTGAAAATTTGATTAAGGTTTAGCTATTTTATAAATAACTCCCTTAGTTTTGAAGTTATTTTACTAAAATTTTACACATATCGAAATCGGTGCACTTTAAAGTATAGCTCCAATACATCTGATTACTCAGATATGTGTTTTTGCGCTATAACTCTAACTTCATACCTGAATAATAAACTGTATGCGTGCTATATGTTAAAGTGAACCTATACCAAATTTTTACCTGCTTAATTGGAGGAGTTATATAGCAAAACAACGTCTCTGGACAATCAGTTGTATGGGAGCTAGATTTTAGAGTGAACCGATTTCGATGATTTTATGACATAGTGAAGGAAATATTTTTTTTGAATTTAAAAGGCTCCAATTAAGCAGGACCAACTATCAGAACCTTTGTCGAAAAAAATTGATTTGATACCACGCTCGAAATATTCTGACTACAAGAAGGAGCATAATTAAAAGTACTCAATCAAGGTTTTTACACACTTCTAGAGAACATTTTTTTGAAGCATTTTACAGGTATATGCAACTATATACGGACTAGTAGTTATACAAATATTTAGATCGTTTCGACTTATTTTCCAATTAAGATATTTTTGGAATCAAAATTACGCTCAAGATTGCAGAATATTTTATCTTTAAAAGTTGGCTTATTCTGAAAGCACAGCTCTTGCTCAGGTATCAAATTGTTCGCAATTGTTTGTAGAATACAATACATACATAAAAAAGTTATTAGAATTAAATGCTTCAAAACCTATGCGCGATAAACCGAAAATTTAGAAAATTGTGAAATGTGGAGTTACAGACTTTGAGTTACTTGCCATTTCGTCATTTTTTAATGCACACTTTTCTTATCTACTACATATAAAATCTACACATAAGTGCTAAATTCCCATTAAATTTCAAATCAGAATATGGTGTGCTTCAAAAGTTATGACATAATTAATTTTGCCCCTCTTAAAAATTACATAGAAAATTCACTTGTTTTCACTGTTTTTTTTTTTTTTAATTTAAACACCTATAATTACAAAGTTATGACGCAAATTGATCCAAATTTTTGTTGAGGCTTCAAGTATACGTCAATGAATTATATCCAAAAGCAACCAGCTTGATATAGTTTCCAACAGTGAAAATTAAGCTAAATAACACCAAGGTTACCTGTTTTTTAGATTTGCCCATATACATATTGGTTATGAAATATAGCAGTGTTATTCAGTATATATTTTTTTTTCACTGAAGAAGTGAAGATTTTGTTAGTGAAGATTTGGTAACTTCTGGTAACTTTTCTTAAGAGATTTTGGTAGAAAAAAATGTTGGCGAGTGGCAACCATGCTTGCCATTTACGATTTTCGGAAGAGATTTTCGAAACGTTGCCACAAATATTCAACTGCATTGAACGACTTCAGTCCAGTGTTGCCGCGAACCATTTTTAGTGTAGCCAAATTCCTTTAAAAAAAAGGGCTAAAAAAGAGCTAAACAAGTCGTTGTGGCTAAAAATGGTAGCTAAAATTGTTTACTTACATAATCATATATACACACCAAAAACCTTTTCGTAAAAAAGGGGAAATATACGACACCAGCTTGCTGGATCAATCAACTGATTGTACCGTCAAGCTAGAAGCATATAACTTACCAGCATGCTGGTACAATATTTATTTCTTTACAAATGAGGTCGAGGAAAGATCGAAATGATTTTAGCCGAAATTTCATAATTTTTCTACCATTTTGTTAAACATTATTTTTTTTTTTAATTCACAACTGCAATATCGTGAACTTAATATTCCACAAACACGGCTTTGAAATTTCCGCCAAAATATTTTTTACTTAGAAAATTTAGCTAATTTCACCACTCACGACCAGTGTTGCCACAAGATTTTTTTTATTTTTTACCAAAATCACGAGAAAAAGTTACCAAACTCAACAAAAAATTACCAAACTTATTTTATGTGTTGAAGTATACATACATGTGTTTGTACATATATCTGAAGACAAGAAGCTTTCCAGGCAATCCGCGCTCCATTAAGCTATAATTTTTACATCTGCGTGGGCGCTGAAAGCTACAACTCTAGAAATGCTTGTTAGTGTGGCCGAAGAAACAAATTTGCCGATTGCGTGTAGTTATATGTTATATGTAGTTATTGGATATACATCTTCATCCATACAAAGCTCAGACCACAAAACAACGGAAGGCATATGATAACTGACATTGTCATGGATACGGTTCATTGCAACAGAGGAATATCAGGCACATAATTTCCCGTAGAGGGGATTTCATTTGGCCACTGAGATCATCCGACTTGGCCTCATTGGACTTTTTTATGAGGCTACTCGGATGGCCGTGTTTATGCGAATACTTAAACCTTAAAACTTTTTTAAAGTTTAAAATCAACGTTTGTCCAGTTATGACCAACATACAGACATACATATGTCAACAAATGACGGAAAATATCTCAAAAATTCAATGGTTCAAGGCAGTTCTGAAAGGTTTCGACTCACGTAAAGTGCCCTGCTAATTACCGTAGCTCTTTGAGCGAGAACATATCGTCGATTTTTTTAAAAAACCGCCAATCGACCAATTGCAAAACCGCCTATCTTGTGGCACTCAAATTTTGCACGAGAGCGTAAAAGCGGTTTTTCTTTGAAGGCGATATTTTCTCTAGCTATTATTTTACAAATCTGTTGTTTTAATAACGATTTTAAAATTTGTATGCATAAATCTCGATGCCTGGAGTTCAGGGTTACCAAATGGCATTTTTGCAAAACGGCATATTAAGGGGTTTTGCAACTGGTCGATGAACGGTTTTGAAAAAACATCAACGACTTGTACATATTTACATAGAACTTTACTCAAACGGTTGCCGGAGTACACGGGAATATTGATGGCAAATGCAAAGCTGATGAACTGACAAGGAAAGGTAGGACCACCCACAACTTCCAGGATAGGGCTCGGTAGATATAGTAACAGCCACTTTCAAGCAGTTTTTTAGAGATCATACCATTCTAGAACCAAGGAACGCTGGACCAACTTTTCGCCTTACGAAACTTTCAGAATTATTCGTTATTTGTATAAAAGGAAACGCTAACGCTATGTGACATGTAGGACCGAATCGAAAAAGTTACCAAATTGAAAAATAAATTACCAAATTACCAAATTTAATAAACAAAGAAAAAAGTTACCATTTTTGGTTAAAAATTACCAAAGCGGCAACGCTGCTCACGACACCAGCACGCTGTTACAATCATAAAATTTTCAAATAGCTTTTGAAGTCGCACCAGCAGCTGGTACAATCACACCACAAGAACATACACGGTCAATCGACTTGATGGGCCATTTAACTAATGAAGCATATTAGGGGCCAGTTTTTCAATGCACGGCCGTGGTTCAAACTAAGTGTAAACGCCCGATCTGGCTGGTTTAAACTAAGATCAGCCATTCAAGTGTCAGCCAGCTGTTCAATTTAAACCCAGTTTACTTAATCTGAGTTTAAACTGGCACTGAAAAACTGGCC